ATTTATTTGGACAAGATCTTTAAAGAGACACACTCAGCTTTTGTAGCAATGAGCTATTTTAGTCTAATTTGTGCGATTTGGTTTTCGCCAGCATAGCTGAACTAGAACCGTTGGTGAGATTTTTTCCAACACAAATATTGTGGTGTAACATTTGCAGTTCACTTGTGAATTACAAACAGCTTTTTGTTTAATGAAAAACTCTGTCAAATGTACTCAGGGTAATGAAGAGAACCGACACAAGAATTGCATGTTTTAGACCAAATTAATTCAGATGAAATAAGAGATGAATCGGTCTTGGCCTAAAAAGTCTGTTTTGGCTTATTTTGCAATTACTCACAATTCCTTCTTTTATAGAAACCACACAATTTATTAATATTTAAATAAAATCCTTTGCACCTTTTCCCCCTAAAGCTGACTCTGTGAAAATAAAGCTGTCAGTGTGAATTTTTATAAATGATAAACCAAAAAGGAGACAGGTGTGACTATTTTAGCCTCAAACTGCAAGCTATTTATCATAGGAGAATCAGCGTCTTAATCGGTAGGGCTGTAAAATCTCATGGTTCAAAGTAAATAAAAAAAATAATACTCTAAGTCATGTCTACATTTTTTTTGTTATATTAGGTTTTTTTACTGTAAAAGCAATATTTCTTTATATCTATTATTAAAAGTAATATTAACATACAGGCTGATACAAATTCTGCTGTATTATATTTTGAAACAGACATTTCTAAACCACATTGTGTTCTTAATAGCACCTTTTGAACACTGTTTTTTTTTTCGAATTTCTTTAACATGCAATTCATCACTTATGTCTTACGAATTTAGACCTGGCAATAGGTTCCTCTCTTTTCTCAGTGTTAACTATTGTAAACTGTGAGAAACACAGGAGATGCATGTATAATTAGAAACCAGCCCTAGAGTGTGGATTTTACATCAGCTTGAGCTCATTAATTATCTACAAGGCTATTTAAAAAAAGTCTAAACATCCATAAGGCCCTTACTCATTATAGAACAGGTTTAACAACCAAACAATATAAAACACGTCCTGACTGGTATACCATTGGTTGGCTGTATTCCCTTGTGTTTATTTTTTGTTATAAAAATATAGATTAAAAGCATAATCCCCACCTGGGTCTTATTAAAGAAAGGAATGTAAGCTACAAAGATATTTTTTTATTCTAAATCTAATTTGACAGCACTTTACATTATTTTTCATTGGGATGGTCATAAAATATTCAGCACATAGCTTGAAAGTCAAGACATTCAAAAAATAAGAGACTCAATGGGCTTTCTGACTGGGGAAGGAAACAAAACCTCTGAAGTCCCCGCTGGTGGCACAGCACCTGTTTAGTGTCCAGTTGCTTTATCATATTACTCATTACTATTACTATTACATTCAATGTTGGTTGTGTTTTTAACTACAAAACACTCACTGACTGTTACCTTAGACACTGAATCCCATGACAGTACCAAGATAGTGCACGGCCATGAAAGGAGCATAGAATCACCCGAGGCACAGCTCATGCGTTTACCATTTGTAGATACCTTGATCTCAAAGTTTGTGAATGTTTTCATTTGAATTTGTTACATTTGTCTGTATGTCATGGTTTTTAACCGTGGTATGTATATTTATTAGTGTGGTCTATCTGTGTGTTTGATCCATTACTATTGCCCTTTGTCCACACAACCTACAATCTAAATCATGATTTGATGATCTATAATTCACATACTTTTGATGGCTGCAATTTCACCCATTTTATCTTCAGCCTCAATAAATTTACACTATTCCTTAAGCTCCCTTCACTTCACCAACCAATATCTACTTGTATCTTTTACCACTCGCTATCTCCCACCAGTGCAAACTGATCTAATTGTCATCACTACCAGAAAATTGCTAGACTTTTTTTGCAAACATATTTTCACAATTAGTTTTAGAAATGTTTTAGAAACCATATTTTATGTTAAACAGTCAATTACAAGTAAAATGGTACAACAATAATTGCTTTGTAAATAAATGAAAGCTTCCAGTAAAGAAGTCTTATAACAAAATATCAAATGGATGACTAATTGTTAAAATGTGAAGCAGGGTAACAAATAGCCTATTTTCCAACAGAAGAGATAGTCTGAAGGATGCTATCATTTTGGCAACAATAGTTGAACTTTGACAAAAATAGCCAAAGTTCATATACTTAACTATTGCAAATTACCAGATTTTACTATTAACATGACGTCAAGTCATGATTTTATTAATGACACGGAGGCGAGTATTATGCATTCTCTTTTTTTATTATACTCCCAGCAGCAAGAAAAGGGAAGTATGAGAGAATCATAGAAAAAAGAAACCATAACAATAGCCTGGTAACAGTAGCACCAATCAGCATCCAGTATAATCCATATAGGTGTAGTGCTCCTTGACGCCTCCTCTTTCCGCGTAGATCCCGAAGACCATTAGTGCAAATTCCAAAGTATTCCAACCAGAAATACGAATTAACGAACCAAAACCATAACTGGAACTTCAATATAGAACAGTTTCAACCGCCAACTCTCAAGTTGTATTCAAGCTAAAAGAGAAGAAAAATATGGTAATATCAAAATCTCGTGACTGCTATTCCGCAATTAACAACTTGTCAACCATGTTAATCATTCGATGTAAATATATCAAGTTCGTCAACCATGTTGCTAAATTGAAATAAGTATCATATAAGCCATATTCATTGAATACTTACTCACCTGTGCCATGAAGGATCTTGTACTTACCGTATTAAGCCATCCTAAAGGCCCCATGTCTGGGTTGCAACTTAATCACCACCCTGGGTAGGGTGGGTGGGAATAATACTCGCCTCTGTGTCATTAATAAAATCATGACTTTACATCATGTTAATAGTAAAATCTGGTAATTTTATTAAAGACACGGAGGCTCCTATTATGCTATTTTAAAGCTGAGCAATCACTGAACTGGAAATTTGTTGCACTAGGCGAAAATAGAAATCATGAAATGTAGACTCATTCGAAAAGTCGGCTGCCCGTAGGATATCCTCCAATTTACAACCTATCATGGCGGCTTTAGAGGCCATAGCCCCGCGAATGGAGTGTGAGGAAAAAATTGAGGTGTCTATGCCTGCCATTGACATCAACCATTTGATCCAACGAGCTAAAGAAGGATTAGATACTGGTAGGTGAGGTACTTTGAACAAGATGAATAATGGATGTGTTTGCTCTGGACGGAGCGAGGCCGTACAATGCTCGTATTCCTTCAGACATAACACAGGGCACAAATTTGGGTTGTCCGGAAACAACGGGTAGAGAACTTCCTTAGTTGAGGATTTTGTCCTACGTGAAATATTAAAAGATACTCCGTTCGGGACAAAAACGCGTGCATGCCAGTCTAGCGCTCTGACATCAGCAACCCGTTTACATGAAAGTAAACAAAACAGCATCAGCAGCTTGGCCGACAATTGCTTTAGAGAGAGTTCCTGGTTCCCTGGCCAAGTTTTGATCAAAGGAAAGATCATATTGGCATCCCAAAAGGAAGAATATCGAGTTTGAGGAAGTCGAGTAAGACGGATGCCTTTGAGTAAACGACAGATAAGAGCATGTTTACCTATTGGGGTGCCATCCAACCCCATATGTCTCGCTTATGGCTGAACTGTACAGATTTATAGTACAAAAGGCTTTTCCTTCCTCAAAAAGTAGGGTCATAAATTGTAGAATTGCTTTTGTAGGAGCTGATATGGGATCCATTTACTGTCCCACGCACCAATCAGTCCACTTTCGCCAAGCCGACCCATAGGCACGTCTGGTACCTGGTGCCCACGACTCTGCCAAGAGACTGAGTGTCGTCTGCGAAACCTCCTCAAGATTCCATGATCTCCTGAAATGAGCCATGTCATCAGTTGAAGTAGACCCTGGTCGGCCAGTTCGTGACTCATTCCCTCTGGGTTGGTCAAGAGGTAGGGCATGTCCGGCAACAGCTGTGGGAAATCTTTCGACATTTCCAATAACTGAGGAAACCAAGGTTGTGACCTCCAAAACGGGGTTACAAGCGCCAGTGTTCCCCTGGAATATCGAAGGACCGCTAGGGTCCGAGAAATGAGGTTGAAAGGGGGAAAAGTGTAGTTCCTGCCCTTGGTCCAGTCCTGTAGGAATGCATCTGTCGCCAGAGAACCAAGGGAGCTGGGTGTTTAGACGAGACGCAAAGAGGTCTATATTGAAAGGTCCCCAGAGTCGAGAGAGGAGCTGGAAAATTATTGGGTGGAGATGCCAATCCCCTGCATCCCGAAGGTATCGGGAGTTCCAATCTTCCATCGTATTGTCCTGC